ATAAGCTTACTATTCCTTCGCTTGCCGTGCTGTTTACTCACATAATATCTAATAGTCCTTCCTTCTTTCAATGGCAAGATCTCCCATGTAGATATAAATACCGGGAAAATTGAAAGATTTGATTTCAAACGTTTCCTCTCGAAACATTCACAACAAAAATGGCGTCCAAAGCTGTTTCGTTCCACGCGTGGAATTCCGGCGTTCGCGCGAGTGTCACGTATCGGAAGTAATTTTGATTCGCTATTTAGAAGTTTATGTCAATCAATGTCAATTCATCACGAAAAGGGGCGGAAGGCATCTCGTTGAGGAATTGTATCAGGCGTATTTTCAGCGCGACCACGTAAAGACGAAGAGTAAAAGAGAGCGCGGAAAAATTCGCCTGATACTCAGGTTAATTTTAACACCGACATACTACCAGATTTAGCGCATGCTGTGAATGGAAGAAAACTGATCCACCTTAGCAACCAAAAATAGTGAAAAATACGTCCACAGACCTAATGATCAGCGGAAATCAATTCATATGGCGGCAAGAAGCATTTGATCGAGTGTTTCGGTGAATTTGCTTGTATTTCACGATTCCAGGCGCTTCTTATGCAAAATATAACGGGCTCTGAAGGATATAGGTACTTATGAAATTTTTTTCTGAGAAAACCAAAAGCCCTTTTTCTACGAAACTTGACAGGCTCTTTCGTTAGGAAATTTCAAACAAACGCTTGGTTGGGGAAAGCGATTAAAGCAAATGATGAAATGTTGTGAGTCCCGAAAGTTCACTTTCAGACTTATTGCAATAATTTAAAATTTTTTAACATTACGTTTTCCCCAACCACAGAAAAATGACTTTTATTTACCTGTACATATTCTTGTCAGTTACATATTCTGGATTTCTTTGGATCGTTGCAGCAAAAAACGAATTTTTCTCAGACATGGGTTAATCAGATTATATCGAAGTACACCATGCATCACGGGGTCTGGGGCACAAAAACAGGTGAATTTTTGTTCTCATTACAAGTCAGCGATTAATATTCTGAAGCTTCATATTCAGAGACATATTTACCATAAAAATGACGCAAATTACCCTGGGCACACCAGTTATCCATTACTAGAATCAGGATTACTGAAAAACGAAAGGAATCATTAACAATGTTATTTTCAAGTTTCAAATGTTCATTCAGACAAAATAGCCCCATTTACACGACATTCATTTTGGGTCCGGCACTCCTAAATTTTGGCACGCGGGCCATAGTTTAGGGCACGGCCCGCTTCATTTACACGACAAAATATGTTCGATTTTTTTCAATGTTCATTTCTGAGCGGCACCCCAAAAATAAGAACGGCACTCTTAAATTTGTGAGTCCCCGAGATTATTTAACAGCGGCTCACATAATTTTTAGCAGATTCGTTCAAAATCAAAATGTCAGATACGCAATGTCGATTGCCAAAAGCAATTTTATGGCTTGATGCCTTGAAAAAACGAAAAGGCCTGACAGAAATGAGGGACGAAACAAGGCATGTCAACACTTGTACCGTGGCATTGACGAATTCTTGATAAAACAGTACATAGAGGTTATTCAGCGGAAAGTTGTGTAATACGGCTGGGTATTTTTACGAGTCAGTTTTTATTTTTTCGAGCCTTTAGGCGAGAAAAAATAAACACTGACAAGTAAAAATGCCCAGCCGTATTACACAACTTTCCGCTGAATAATTGTTTATTATACGACATAATATATTTCCTAAAATATAGGCTTTCAACAGTGTTTTCCGTAGCGCGCGGTCAGGGGGACTGAGACCCGTGTAATACGGTCTCATATCTGCTCTCGTCTTTGTGCGTATTCGCACTCTAAAATTCCATGTCGTGTAATAAAGTGTAATATATCTGTATCAAATAACACAGCCGACCCAAAATTAAGCCATATATTTAAAGCAGACAACGGCATTACAATACTAAAAACCGCATTTTACGGAACAGATTATTGAAATACCGAGGGGTCAAAATTAAACATGGTGCATGATGTGAATTTATCAACATGCATGAACTGACACATTACCTCCAAAATAATGCTACTGCTATGAATGACTATTCCTCGAATAGTAATTTACATGAAGCAAATTACAAGGGTCGAACAAAGCCGCAGTTAGTGTCCAAAATGGAAAACGGCATAGACAAATCACGTCGATTAAAATACTCGCTAAAAGAAACAAGTTTTACTACCCGTTGTTGTTATAAGCCTTATAATAAAATCTATAACTTCAAACCAGTGGAAATCCGACTGATTACTCTGTCTTTCAGGCCATTTATATTCCTCTTTAGGCCATGTTTTTACGGCATGAAGACATATCTCGTCAGGACACACCGTTTGCGCATGTGTGATTGAAATTTTGGCGCTCCTGGTTTTTTTCTCCGTGTCGCCGAAGGCTCTGGGAACGAGAATGCATCTCTTTTTGGCACGCGGGCCTCCTTTTAGGCGGGCCGAGACTACCTCCTGAGGTGGTCTCGGCCCACCTAAATTTTTGGGCACGCGTGCCAAACATTTTGCATTTACACGGCAAAAATCAAGCGGGCCGTGCCCTAAACTATCGGCCCGCGTGCCAAAATTTAGGAGTGCCGGACCCAAAATGAATGTCGTGTAAATGGGGCTAATGTCATAGCCTGTTCCAGGCTCTCGGGTAGTGGGGACGAAGCGAAAAAGTGAACGGCCGCTGGAAGGTAGTCTGTGAGAGAGTTTAGGAATATCAATAAAGAAAAGTATATCGCAATTTTAATTGTCTCTTGACTTGCAGGAGCCTGGCATCGAATAAAATCAGAAATCTACCCGTAGGAGTATTCTCCAAGCTATCGAGTTTGATGTTATTGTACGTTTGTTTGCATTTTTATCGTTTTTGACTCATAATTTAAAGTCGTTATTATATGTTAGCATGTTGCTTTTGATTATCCTAATGAAAGCCTATACAGTCTTCTTTGACCCTCTTTCTACATTTTACGCAAAAATGGGGAAAATCAGTATTATTCATTTTACAGTCTGTAAGTCTCCGTTGCTATTAATTATAATGAGCAAGCATCACGGTACAATAAACAGGCGAACACACGGCTAAAAGCTGCTCAGTTATGTATTACTCTTTCATCCGGGTTACAAGAACCAATGTCACACAATACTTCGTGTAAGAACACCTAATATAGCTTCTTAGTATAATTTTCAGAGGTGAATATGAGCATATTCACCGCGCTAGGCGGTGAATATGGGATTTAAAGGCGTGGCTGCTAAGCTAAACCACATTTTCTTGTAACGGCAAGTAAAGATGGCGACTCGTTTTTGAATGAAATTTTCGTTTATTCTAAAGACATCACTCCAAGTACGGGACACTCAAAGCATTGGGAACTTAGGTAAATGACTACCAAGACGTTTGGACGGAAAATATTTTCAAGAAATGATTTTAACGCATTTAAAACTCGTAAACATGTAAAGGATTTTGTGTGGCCAACCAAGGCGACCGTGTTTGTGTCAGATGGAGTGACAGAAATTTGCTTTTCTTCAGACCTAAGCTACTTATTTCAGAACGATAACTACAGCTGCTCATGAAATCAGCAACGATCAAACAAAGGTACCTGATGAATAGTGTTCTTTTGTGTATTTTACTGCTTAATTTGATGTGTAAACGATATAACTACGGTAATATGGCGAGTACTTGCGTGTGTTGTTTTTCATGTTTTAGCTCGTAATTTTGTAGTTCTTGATATATATTCACCTCTGAAAATTATACTAAAACAATTATTCGCCTCAGGCTCAGTGAATATTGTGAATATTAACCTCGACTTCGTCTCGGTAAATATTCACAATATTCACTTCGCCTTCGGCGAATAATTGTTAAATATAACAATGTCAATTACTTTACAAAAACTTGCAGTATCTTAACATGCTGACATGCCACTACTACTACTTGGGTGGCTCTCGTCACTTCCTTACCTATGTCGTTGGCTATCTTTGTTATATTCCAGCAGTTATCTTGTTCAGTGAAACTTTGTAAGTGTTTCCTTTTCTTTCAGGAGCCTGGAGTGGAATAATATTGGCAATCTAACCCCAGGAATATTCTCCAAACTATCGAAATTGCAGATGTTGTACGTTTCTTAGCATTTTTCTGTCTTTAAGCTGTATTTCTGTTAAGGGATGTCATGGTTGCTTGCTTTGGTTTAAACTATTGTTAAATGCGGTAGGTCTATAGGAACTACATGCACAATCCACCGTACGGAAAAACATGATGGCGGCTGTACATTTTACCACAATACCTTGCGAACCTAACACAGCCAATATGCACATAGAAAGCCATATCTTTTGCGAAATTCGTCCCTGCACTAACAACATTAATATTGTGTATGCTAGGTTTGAAGATTTTAGAACTTTTCTGTGCGTTTTTATGAGCGTTTTTAGGGTCTTCGTGCGCTAAGAATTATGGGTAAATGTACCATCGTTCGTAATCCGTCTCAATCTTCCCCAATCTCAACCATCCTTGATCCTTTTTGCTTTATTATTTATTACCTCTTTGGGGTGTTTTTCTTCTACCTGAGTAAAGTATTATTTTGCGATTTCCTTCGATTTAAAGCTATTTGAGGATAACTTTGTGCATCGCAGACAATAATTTAACATTTGAATAACAAAGAGACATAATCAAAGTCCTTTATTTTTCTTTATCCTCACTTTGTCAATCCATAAAATACATACAAAGTTTCTGTATTTTCGGCTGATAAATTTTTATTCCAATTTTACAGGAATCTTCATCATAATAACATAGAAAAACTGCCTGAAAGAATGTTGCGAAACTTATCAGGCCTGCAATATGTGTAAGTATACATCTGGCAAGTATTTAAAATAGAAAATTTATACCAAGCTTAAAATTAATATACCATCATTTCTTTCCACAGATTCTCACGCATCGACAAATCTAATCCTAGTAGTATGCGGGATGTTTGTCACATTTCAACCTAGTTATATGGCTTAAGCTCCCACGAGTCTCCTGTAGCTCAGTGGTAGAGCGCCCGACCGGTGTGCGGAAGATCATAGGTTCCACCCCTGTTTGGAGAACTCGGAAAAAATTAGCTTGTGTCACTGACTGATTAACATCATTTATTTCCAGAAAATTCCTTATAATGCTACGAAAGCAAGCAATAAGGGCAAATAAACCATAAATTAAAACAAACAAACTGACTGACTTTTGACTCACTCCTTCTCATTCATTCTCTAATATAAAGCATTCGATTGTTCCTCAAGAAAAATCCTGACCAACTATTAAATTATTAAATCTCGGTTTGTTTCCCAACAACTGCATACGTTTATTTTATTCCCTGTTACTGTATAATGGTTAAACGATAACCAGCTGGATCAATGGTACCATAGTTAATAAAAGGAGTGGTTATGAAGCCCGACAAAAGTCTTTGTTATATGTTTTTTGTTCGCTTTTTTTGGCCTTGACCCTGCACAAACCTGACAAAATACAATAGGTGTTTACGTGTGTTCAAGCAAACTAACCAATAGAAACGTTTTCGATTACGTAATTCATGCATAGTGTATGAGCGCAAAACAAAAGATTGTGCAGGGTCGTGGACCTTTCCAACATAAATCTTGGCCTCTTTGTTTGCTCTTTTCCTGGTCCTTTGAAGTTTGCCGGGCTTCATAACCATTTCCCTCTATTAACTATGATGGTACAGAACAACTATTCTGCTTGTATTGCACAGCATTACTAACATTTGCTCAATCTACTGAAAACGATAATTTAGCTTTAAGTAATTAACGTTCTGTCCCACCCGTATGGGACGCCTTATGAATACGCATGCGCGGTCATTATTCAGTTATAACAGCATATGTTTATCCCGTAGTCATATGGCAGATAATAAAATCAGGGACCTCCCAGCTGGACTTTTTTCGAATCAAAATGAGCTTGAATATTTGTAAGTACCTATTTAGGTCGTGCGCAAAAGTTTGGCTTCGTCAAACTCACACGCTTTTTTCTTATAGTTTACATCTCTGAACAGCTTCTCGTGTCCCCTATATTGTGAAATTAACAGCAACGTATCTTCTCTGCTCCACAAAAAATCATTTCTGTCTCTCAACAGTTTAGTCAACTCGACGCCATCTTTGTTTCCAGCGCAAGAATGACGTCATTATTCCGGATTATTCCGAGTATTCTGCTCCCCAGAGCAAAGCAGAATACTTGTAATACATTCCGTGTATTCCGGAATCGGAATATATAGCGACTCAATCAAACGGATATTCGGGGTTATTCCATTGTCTTATTCCGGAATAAGGTCAATAAACGCACCCTTAGATTTGCCATCTTAGATTTCTTGATTTTTCCAATACGTCAGAAAACCACTACCAATACAAGAATGCTAAATTGATCTAAAAAGGTAAAAGTTATGGTAAGAAAGTTTTTATTTTCATTAAAAATTAATTAAAACAGTAGGACAATTCTAAATTTGGAAAAACGTGCTTGTCAAAATATGGTTTGGTTGCTATGGTAACAGCGCAAGTTCCTTTAACAATGACATGTCATACCAAATTGTTTCCAGATAAATTTTAGGTAAAATTGAAAAGTTTGGCGGCTTTTACTTCAATATTAAAAACAGTTATAAACGGTTCAATGTCCGCGCTGGCAGATACCGCCCCCGGTCTGAATATGATTAATTGGGCACACTGGTCGTCATTTTTCATTTACAGATTTTTGCAAAATAACTTGATAACCTGTATACCAAGTACATTATTTGGCAACCTCACCAAGCTTCAATATTTGTAAGTTAACTGACTTCAATAGCCAGTTCGAGATTTTGATTTTATGTATGTGCTTCCAGTTAAGCTCGCATTGAGTATAGACCCTGAAAACGTTCATGTTTAAAACATATTTTGTTTTCATTTTTTCTATAGAATGCTTTCAGATAATCCTATTAAGTCAATTGCTCCTGGGGCTTTCACTATTTCAAGTGTAAAGCTCATGATGTAAGTCAGTATAAATTGATATTGTTGGTAACAAAGTTGAACAGCATGCACTACTTTTTGCATTATTTTTTGTTGAAAAAATTAAATGGGTATCTTGAGCATGCCATAGGGATTGTATTGTGAAGTTCTGAAGTGTGGTAAATCGATTCCACAGAAGTATCGCTAGATATACATTGTACTATCTATGTTTCCGGATTGAAGACAGATTCCAACGTATACCAGGTGTCTAACTGTACTTTTGTAATATTAAGACGGATTCCGCTCAACGTTCGAGCAATAAGTGCAAAAAATTAAGTTACCAAAAAAATACTCATAGCACGGTAACATTTTGAATACAGTTAAGAAGAAATTATCGATAAATTAGCTCCCAAGCTGACCCCGCGAGAGAAGTCATTATATATTTTAATTAAAAAGACGCTTCATGTCAGTTCAAAACAAAATGGCGTGCGTTTTTATAATTTTTTACGAGGTTTGACATTAATTTTCTCGAGAATGCTTGAGAATTTAATTGCGGGGTCACTTGGAGAAGTGAATTAAAGTGATATGTTTCAAATAGTATTCAAAATGTTACCTTGCTATGAGTAGTTTTTTAGTAATTAATTTTTGCACTTATTGCTCGAACGTTGAGCGGAATCCGTCTTAATAACAAAAAATGCATTTATTGATTCAAAATGTCAACGAACCTTGTACAAACCGAAAGATTCGACTGTTGTTATGGTGTAGACAGTCCCGGGGGACTCCCATATAAAAGTGACAGAGGTGATTGTTGTACTTTTTTAGGGGTTAAAATTCATTGTTTGGTATACCTCGTATAGTTTGTTTCAATCTAAAATGACCACCTTTATAGTTATCCCGGTATCTTTTAAGGCATCGAGCCGTAAAATAATACGACAAGAACTAGTTCTGTTTGAAAATTGGCACACCCACACAACTAAAGTTTGGTACCTTTTAGTGGTTCCTTTTAAAATTTCCGACGATCACCCTCGTCACTTTTGCATGGGAATCCCCCTCCCCTCCCCCCGGGTAGACAGTAAGGTTTCCCCGTTGTCTGGTTGCTTGTTAATGTATTTGACTTTAATAGATATATGATGCGAACGCAATTAACAACAGTGATCAGTCTCAGATCTTTCTCTGGGAACATTACTAATCTGACAGTAAATGTGTAAGTATATGGTACATTAATGAGACCCTGCTGTTCCGTACTTTAGGGGGTTGAAAAAACACCACCCACATGGGGAAGGAGCAAAGCTGCGCTAAAGGGGAGCCGATGCTGGTCCCCACCCACCCCGGTGCTGGGTAGGCACAAGAAACCAAAGAGAGATACTGATTATGGTTACAAAACCTGGGTGTCAGGGAAGACAGAGCCTGTCTCCCCTAGAGTAGCGGTGTCTCTAGGAGAACCCATGTTAGAGTGTAACATAGGCCGGACCAGAAGAGGGGTGCCCTTCTGGTAGGACAATAGGTCAGATGGTACGATGGTACCATCCTGTAGAGCCCCAGAACTATTTCCAAGGGGCCATAGCACTTGCTGTGGGGCGAAATGCGGCCTACGGGTGCACTTCCCTGCCACAATTGTGTGAACCCACTGCTAGCTTGGAAAAGGGGGGAGGGGGGACACAATTACTCCACAGTAAAAGTAAACAGGAAAAGCAGACCTCTACATGTATGTGTAGAAGGTAATGGGAGGTCTTTCACACACAATAGTTTTCTGTTATTCCTGTATGACATTTTAAAATAATTATTAATATTTATTTGTGTGGCAGGGAAGACAGAGCCTGTCTCCCCTAGAGTATCGGTGTCTCTAGGGGAGATCTCCTAGAGTAGCAGTGTCTCTAGGGGAACCTATGTTAGAATGTAACATAGGCCGGACCAGAAGAGGGGTGCCCGTCTGGGAGGACAATAGGTCAGATGGTACGATTGTACCATCCTGGAGAGACCCGGACCTATTTCCAAGGCCATAGCACTTGCTGTGGGGCGAAGTGCGGCCTACGGGTGCACTTCCCTGCCACAATTACAGTGTGAACCCATTGATTAACTAATTAAACAATAGAGTACTAATTAAGCTTGAACAATTAACCTTTTAAGCCCCAAATATGTAAAGACAGCTAATCAATAATATTGTTCTTGTAAGGACGGTGCATGGACGGGAGATCAAGAAATGAGAAAGGGAATAGAGGATAATCTTGTTTTGGATGTGAACACCTATTTCTATCAACTAGTGCCATAGCAAGTGGGAAGAAGCCAGTGGGGAGAATTTGTCTGTTGATATTGGGGTTGAAAAGGTTAAAGCAGAACTTATAGCAGGCCTAAATTACAATACTAAAATGGACCATTGTTAGTTTCTTGAGGAAGGCTAGTAGTGTTTCTTGAAGAGTTTGTATGTAGCGTTCATAGCAGTCTGAGCTCCAATGACACAGTACCTTTATACGCCATGAATGGACACCTGCTGCAAGCTTGCTGCAGCTGAGGTAGTAGCTGCACCAAGACGGAAGCTGTGTGTGTAATAGTCTTTAGCAGGTAGGCCACAATGTTGCAGTGTAGATGGAGCTCTTTGGTAAGAGAGGCACAGGATAGCCACTTGCCATTGGTGAAGGAAAAACAAAGGAGGCTTGAAGCAACTGGTTTACGTTGTAGCGGGTAGTCTCTCATAGCCATCACAGAACAGACAGAGTTTGTGCACCTTGCTATGGCTAAGGTACAACCTTTACGAAAGGGGGTCAGTTTGGATTGCTTAAATGGTAACAAACATATGGTTGGGAGATTCAATGCTGGGGATAAAGGTGATGTCACTGGGACAAGGATGGGCAGTAGGGGTGATATTAGCGTTGACACTTGTGGAGTGATGTTTATGATACGAGAGGTGGAAAAATAGTATGCCAATCCGTTGAGTGTTTATTTGGGGCAACCCCAATGGGATAAAAAACTGCATGTTGGGGAAGAGAGTGGAAGTGAAAGGGTCAGCCATGTGGCCTCTTAGCATCTCTTTTCAAATGTTTTGCTGGCGATGAAGGGATTGACCCGGGCAGAAAGGAGGTTAGAGTATTCTTTGGGGCAACCCCAATGGGATAAAAAACTGTATGTTGGGGAAGGGA